GCAAAAAGATGTAAATCAACAGAGAATGACTGAGCCTAAACATCCTTCTGCGCATTTGGCACCCAACTAGCAAAATAAAACACATTTTTGGCTCAGGTATACAAGGGAGTAACTGATTGTTTGTAAGTGCATGTGATTGATAGTGTGGAATATAGAGTGGAAAAGGGGAAATTTGAGGGCAAGGATGTGAACAGCATTCGCTACTGCAGAAACAAGGCCAGGTCACTTATATTTCAGGAAATGGAGCTTGTATTTATGATGCAGATGAAAAGTCTGTTCCAAGTTTCCTTTAGTCTGTAGCCCATCCAAATCAGAAATTGACTGTTTGCATCAGAAGGAGCTGATGAATCCAGTTTAGCTGATGCTAAAATAACAATTTATGGCAGGTCCAATCTAGAATAATGAATGTGCTCCTAGCTCCAGAATTATGTCCCTATAATCTGAATGGTTATAAAAGGGGGAGGAGAGATAATGAGAGATTATATTTGTACAAAAATAGGAATAATAAAATATTGCTTAACAAATACAGAATCTGTGACGAATGCAAAGGACAACGGTGTCAAAACAGCAATGTATGTTACACTCACTTCAAAAAGTGTTTCTCTCTCCTGAAATGAGAGATCAGTGGAAGGAAAAAAAAGTTAATCATAAACATTACATCTAGAATACATTCTTTTTTTGAAAGGAGATATGCAAATTAGACTCTAATTTGCATATCTTCTTCCGATGGCTTTTTCGAAAGCGTTTTTTTTGAAAGTGAAAAGTTTAGACGGTTTTTTTTCAAAAGAACCCCCCTTTTTCGAAAGAACCCTTCTTCCTTAAAAAATGAGGTATACAGGGTATAGTTCCATGTTTTCCCCCATGGAAGATTGGAAATGTTCATCAGAAGTTTCCAAAACTTTCCTCCCACCCCCCAAAAATATGTTAAATTTTTTGATGTTGTGGCTTTCAGTTTTCCAGTGGAAAAAATCATTTCTCCCACCTTTCCCAAGGAAAGTGGACACTTTCTGTAACAACATTTGTTTAGTTGAAACCCCAGAGTTTTGTTCAAAAAGCATTGACAAATTTTTCAAAAAGCCATAACAATATTTCTACTATTTTTTAGATTCTGATTGTTTAGATATTGCACCCACTGACTGGCTTATTACACCTACATATGGTCTATGTTCAGATTACTCTTAGCCAGCCCCCCACGTCCATCCTGGCCCAGTTCACACTGCCATGTGTTTGTTTTGCCATTCGTCTTACTGCATTTCGTCTTAAGCTAAATCAGTTCCATGCACAGAGATCCATAGAAGTAAACTACTTGGATACTGTTCAGGGAAGCTCAAACCTTTGTTCAGTGCACAAGGAATTTAATCAAAAAAGCAACTAACATGTTAGGGCTTATAAAGAATGAGGAAATAATACAGGAAGTTATGGTATGCCATTGTCTTACTGTGTGATTTCAGGTAAGTAAAGGAACTCCTTGTGCCCTCAGTTTTCCAAGCAGATGACTGGGATCAGAATGCTCACTCATCTTTGTAAAGGATTGAATGAATGTGAATAATGCATTTGTTTTCATGTTCCATGT